TGACCCCGACAGCACTACTCGGAGTCGGAAGCACCCTATTGTCATCTTCTCTTACTTCTGGTTCTATCTCAAAACCCACGAGACCTGCGATTAAACTTCGAGTCACCGTCTGCAAGTCCTTAACGTCGACGCGCCAAGCGCACGAAATTGGGCCCTGCAGCCGGTCCAGTGAAGCACACACAGCACTTGATCATGGATGCAGGGACTAGGTATCCACTATTGGTTGATTCTTGGATAGACGCTCATATGACCAGCAGAACGCCACCGAATCCTTGGTTCGACCGCGCGGGGTTGAACGATGCTCTGAAACGTATGCTTCGTTGAGATTACCAACTTTAAACAAAGCCTAATTCTCCGGGAAGGAAATAAGTCAATAGCGTGTGCTCTTTCAGCGAGTTACATATCTACGGTTGCAGGGTATCCGGTACGTGCTTGGGCTACTCAAGACCCGTATGCTGTCTAATAATTAATTTGGATATGCTCTAGCTGGACTCGTTGAAGTCAAGGCTGCAAACCACCAAAACGCGAGTCTCCGTTCCCAAACTCGCAGCGCTCGTGTATCACGAGGAAGGCGTGAAAGGGTTTTATCGTGGTATATGGATACCTCTCGTGACGATATCCTTTGTTCGTGAGTTGCTGGTGAATCCATGCTCTTGTCTTTGAGCTGAGTGTCTTGCAGGCGCGGCATCGTTTGCAATATACAGTGACATCAAGGAATATTGTCACACCAATCACTATTTCGCTAGAAATAGGATGTCTGATGCTGCAATTGCTGGTGGTATCAGTGGTGCATTGTCTGGATCAGCAATCTCTTTCGCGAGTGCACGTGTGTTTTCAACCTCCCCCTGTTTTTCGCCTTCTGACACATGATTATACCAGCATTCGAGCTCGTAAAGGTTTTGCCATGTCGCGTCTTCGGCGCTGTACTATCATTCTGACTGCCATTAGGTTCGCAGACAGCTCGAATACAGCATTGCTGCGAGCAAGGGCGCTCACCTGGCAAAACCGCCAGGTACTTGCGAGGCTGTTCGAGAGATAGTCAAGACGAATGGATTTTTCGGTCTTTACATTGGCTTTCCACTACACTTTCGTTCGTGAAAGCTTCTTCCGCGTCTGTCATGTCATTGAATGTATCTTCGTATTCTTCCACAGTGCGGGATACGGCCGGAACAGCTCTATACTTTTTGGAATATGATGCAATGCGCCATTTTCTTGGCCGACAACGCTCAGGGGAGCAAGGTCCAACACCTCCTTGGTTACCGATACCCGTCTCTCTAATCCCCTTTGTCTGCGGTTCACTTGCTGGTGTCACTTCGTGGGCACTCATTTATCCCCTCGACGTGTGAGTCATCCTCGATCTAGTTACTCACGCCTTCACCCCAACGTATCTTTTTTCCAGTGTTAAGACAAAAGTCCAACAACGTGCCTTGGCTGGCACTCCTCCGAGAGGAGTATGGGAAACTCTCCGGCGACTTGTACGGGGTACGGCCAAACTTTCTGTCCCTGTCTCATCTGTGGCTCATTTGCTATACCCAGGCCCAGATCCCAAAGATCCCAAGCCAATTCTCGCTGGGATAGCACGAATATATCAGGGCCTCGGCGTGAGCGCGGTGCGGAGCATCACCACACATGGCCTATTGTGGACTTTCTTCGATATCACATCGTATTATATTGACCACCTGCCGTGATGGCGTTCCTCTTTGTTTGAGACGTCGAGCCTCGTTAAATGTTTACCTGGCTGGCCTACGATCCACTGATGCCCTCGAACACAAACACCCTGGATATCAGCGCACAACTTATACTTAAACCACACGTCTTATATGTATTGTAGCAACTGTTTTATGCCCATTGAGTTATCATTGCACAACCAGGCAGGCATCGCATGAGCTATATACATTCAGAGATCCCAATCACGTCTGTGGGTAATGGCGTTGCCCGTAGGAGGGTGGCACAGGTTGGAGATTACCTCTCGGTGCAAATCTAGGTGCACTGTATAGCGTGGTGCGCCTCTGCCACTCCTCGACAAGCGTGCTGATGGCGAATACCTTCATGATTTCTTCAATGAGGCGACTCGGGCATGTAAAAAACAGGAACGCACCAGTTGACAAATGGGATCGACTGGAAGACGACCCAGGGTAAACCTGGAAAGTTCAGCGACAAGATGACGAAGGAAATGCCACCCATTTTCTTCCGTGGCAAATTTCGGTCCAAGCTGTAACAGCAGCGCATAAATTGCAGCCGCCGCGTCGGGCAAGGGCATGAAAGCAGCGAGTTGCTCCAGTCCAGCGAGTGCGCCCCGGTGTTGTAGTTGACCGCCTCGGAATAAATGGCCCATAATCGTAATGATGGCCACGACGCGCACCAGAAGGTTTTCACGAGGTAGCGGTAGTACTTCACCTGGAGGAACGTCGACGAACTGTGGCCCGTTAGTAACTCGCTCGGATGTCTGTAGAAGAGGTCATACCCAGCGCCATATTATCTTTAGTCTCTCAAGGCAAAGTACGACCAACTCTTGCAGGAAGTCTTGTTTCGCGTGGACCGAAATGCAACCCAAATGATGTGATATCCTCGAAACGAGAAAGACCACCTCGGAAGCGGATACATTCAGATTTCCCGAGTCAGACTGCATACGCGTCCAATGCATGACCACCGCAAGGGAGAGGCCACGAACCTTCGATTTGGTCGGGCTTCCAACGATCTGTAATGTCCGTATGGCCATTTCATCGATCGAGTAATGTGACAACACGGACTGCTTGAATATAATGGTCAACTGGCTATCAAGGTTCTTTTGCCACCGCGGTGTCTCGGGATCGACGTCCTCTGCAAAGGGTCGGAAGCGACTGGTGTTCTGGAAGATCGGTGGGTAGTCATTCACAACTTGGTCAGATGGTGGAGGGTTCCATAGGCCAACAGGGGGTCTGACGTTGTAACTTGCATCGATTAGCGAGTCTCCCGTGCTGGGGTTGGCTGAAGAGCATCCAGGGAGCTTGAAATCGCGTTCCGACACTGTGGCCATCGTTGAAAGTAAATTGGAAAGCTAGGTGTGGAAGGAAAAGGAACGCCGTTCATGGTTGTGGACAGCCTGTCTTGACTCTTTATTCCCAATATTGAGGTGAGTCGTGGTCAAGTCCACAAGGTCACTGGCGGCAAACGCCGCCCCCTTGTATTGAGATGAGTCGTGGTCAAGTCCATTGTCGAAGGTTTGAAAATTGACACTAGTGTTTGTATAATTCAGCACATATATTCATCGCCGGGATAGCTCAGCTGGGAGAGCAACAGACTGAAGTGCAGTTGTGTTCTGGAGGTCCCGTGTTCAATCCACGGTCCTGGCATATTTTTTTTTCGGCGACCTCTGTTAGGTTCACTTTTGTGCTTTCTCCAGTTGTGACAAGACCGATTTTATTCATATTTATGTTGGGCTCTTAATGTTCAGGAAGCCCGATCTATACATTCCACCACGTTAGGCAATCGTGTACTTTCCATAGCTTTTCTCCGGATCGTATACCTGGCAGCATGACACTTCGAATCAGTGAAACTGAAACCAAAATGCAGGGTCTCACCTCCCATCGTGACGCCGGGAAGATATGCTTATTTCTCTGGTACCAACTCCTTTCCACCACTTTCCCGGCGTGCGATTCATCCTTCTCTTTCGTTGCATCAGCAAGCAAGCGGACATCATCATGCACGTCAAAATTGAATAACGGCCCTGACTTGCCCCGGGCCTTGTTGACGATGAAGTCATAGAATGTATAATGCTGCGCTAACTGTGAGCATCGTGGCAACCCACTCAGAAACCCACTTACACCTGGTATTATGAGATCCTCCTTGCAAACGAACGGCGAGTCAGACGTGCGGACGGCTGGAGTACAAGCGAGACCCTTACCTTGATGTACATCAAGTTGTCAACGCTGACACCTCTCAGCTCAGGGAACTGTTGACGGCACTTTTCCAAGAAGCTGCTGACTGCGTCGCCTTTCTTGCACTGGGATAGGGAATATTGGGAACCTTTAACACCGAAGAGTGGCTCGAGACACGTACTGTTACAGACTTTCTGTGTCCACTGCCATCCCAATAGGAGTAAGTGATTTCGATTTCTTCTGCCTTGAGTTCCTCCTGCTTTCGGAGCCACTCTTGACGAAGTCGCTCCCTTTCTCTCCTTTCTTCTTCCTCTCGTTCACGATCAGGAAGGAAAGACGTGTCGACGTTGGGGTTCTTGCCGAACTTCAAGCGCTTCACCACAGGTTCACCATTCTCCACATCTGGAGTTTGGCGCGATGACGATTGTCCTTCACCTTCTTCGTCGTCCATGGCAAATGATAGTGTCGACTTTGCCTTCTTACGCTTCTTGACATTCTTCGTTTCCTCCCTAAACAAACACTCCACGTACTATTAGCCACCTTCCCTCGTGCGGTGAATGAGGAAGCTGCGCCCCGTAACCGAAACATCGACTCACTTGAGCTCATTGGTGCGCGCCGCCTCTCGTGCCTTTGCCTCCTCCAGCTCTTTCCTACGTTGCTGGAAGTCCTCCAGGCGCACAAGACCAACAGTACTGTACTTCAATGTCTCTTCCATAGAGTCATTTTGCCCCACGAACTTGCTAGCTGAAGGGCGCGACTTTTCGGTTTCATTGATGAGGTTTTGTTTTTGACGCTCGTATTCTTCGCGGTTCTGGAGACGCTGTTTGATAAGTTCGTCTTGGCGACGTCCTTCTATCTTGTTAGAAGACATGGTAACTGCAGACGGCCTACTATTGTTGTGTTGGGCGTCGGTGTGAAGTCAAGGCCCAACTTGACAAGCGCTGACCGCAACCGCGGAGTGTAAATTTACTTTTCGGTCTCTTACGGTCCTACCTAGTACCTACGACGCGTTCCTTCACCGACTTTCCAACTATGGTCCATGTTCTCGGGGTGCTGCTGCCGGACTTGCAATATGCAAGGGTACGCGCGGAGCCGTCTCTCGTTGTTGGATCAACCCACTAACTTCACCCCAGCACGCCTTGACCACTTTTTACGGTGTCGGAAACAGAACAGCCCACCGGCTCTGTGCACGACTACAAATCCACGACCGCCAAAAAGTACGGGACCTGACAGCAACACAAATAACTGAACTAGCCTCTTTCCTTGCCTCTCCTTCTACTGCACCTCCACTTCGCCGCATGCCGCTCGCCTCGCTGGGGTACAAACCTCCTCCTGCCTCCGTACCAGCAGAAACGCTCCGGAATTATGCTCTCAAGGAGTCTTTACCTGGCCGGCCAGATCCTCTAAAGAGCTTGAAAATTGAGGCGGAGGCGAGGAGAGTGGTGAAGGAGAACATTGCTCACCAGAGAATGATTGGGAGTTATGTGGGGAAGAGGCATGCGATGGGCCTGCCTGTCAGAGGACAGAACACACAATCAAATGCCAAGACAGCGAAGAAGCTCAACAGGGTCAATCGGTTTGGCTGAACGGATGGTTTACACATTTATACAGTATCATATCCATATTTGCGAGGTTTTCTGGATGTTCATGTCAGTTTCGCTCACAAAGTTCTGACCGCACAAACGATGACAGTAATTTCCGACATTACTCTGGAAATTAGCACATGCCCAAGGTTGCAGTACAAGTGTAGAAATACAGGTGAGTCTAATCATCCCCTATAGGCACCTCCTCTTCCAGGTATTTCAACAACGTAACGCGTATTTCGGTACTCTCATCGCCCCGTAAAACGTCGGACAGAAATTCTGCTTGTACCTGCATTTGTACCTACAGCAGGATAAGGTGTTCGACATCTGTACTGAGGACCGAACGTCCATACATACCATTTCTAGTGCCCCTCTGATCACACCGCACAGCACATTGCTGAACCATAGGCCGCCTTCAAGCGCCTCTTCTGGCAGCTCAACAAATTCTGCCAAAGGATTCTCATCGAGGGTGAGGATAAATGCTGAGTTCGGGAGACTGGACTGTTGCGAGAGGCTGTTTGGTCTCGACGCCGGCGCAGCATGTGTGACCCCTGGTGTGATATTCAAAAAGGATTTGAAGCCGACCTGTGTGACAACCTTGGTATCAATTTGTACCATGGGCATGAGCGCACGCACCTTCGCCATCACCTCGCCGACTTCCCTGAAATCAGAACACCGACCGAGAGAACTCCTTGCCAAAAAATCCTCAATCAGCCTTGTCCCGATATTGTAGCCCATCTTCTCGAGTTGCTTGTTGACTTCCGCGTAATCTTCATAGTCCTGGATCAGCTGTACCACGAGTGCGCCGTAAGTCAGCGCGAATAATTCTGCGTTCTGTTCTGCAAGTCAGTCAGGGTCCTTGCTTGGTCGACACCGAGACGCAGATGGATAACGAAAGTCTGGCTTACAATCTTCTCGGTACGGCCTTTCCAGAGGTCCTCGCCGATGGCTTTGTATTGCTTGCTTGCCGTCGCCATCGTTGGCAATGTGAAATAATATGTCACGGCGGTGATCTATGGATGATGGTATCGTTTTGCCACTGGCTTTGCGATCGCTCGCCGAAGCTCGGCAAGGGGTTGACTTCCCATTGTAGAAATCACCACCTAAGTCGCCGCCCTTTGACTCGGGAAATGCCGTGCTGAGTCTCAAAGACCTATCTACGCCGACTCCAACCGTGCAGTGCAGAATCTATGCTGATATAAATCTATCCGCACCGAATTTGATCATATACATCATGTCTCGCCCCGAACTCCAAGCACCACCAGAGATTGTGCGGTTCTCCAAGCACTCAAGAGATTAATCACTGACCCCATTTGCCTCTAGTATTATGGCGACTCTGAGGCCAAAAAGTACACGACAAGGTAAGTTACTGCCATCCGACCCGTCCTGACGGAAATTCTCAACCATTCATCGAGTACTCGAAATCAGCAAATTCAAGCAGACATGACCTATCGGGCGCTTGAGCTATTAAGCCTCCCTCCAGGCGAGTCAGCGTTCCTTCTTGACATTGGCTGTGGATCGGGTTTGTCTGGCGAAATTCTTGATGAGGAGGGGTATATCTGGGCGGGTGTAGATATTTCCCCGAGCATGCTTGGTGAGTCGATAGTTTCACGATAAACTGGGACGACTATGAACAAATGATCAGAGGTGGCCCTCGATAGAGAAGTGGAAGGTGACTTGTTCTTGCAGGATATTGGCCAGGGGTTTGGTTTCCGCCCAGGTAGCTTTGACGGTGCAATAAGGTAACGCGAAGTTCATCAGTCTTGTCCACCATGTAGACGTGTCATCACATAGTATATCTGTCCTTCAGTGGCTTCTAAACGCAGAGACATCCCACCCGACGTCATCACCTCCGCATCGCCTAAACCGCTTCTTTACGACTCTTCACACCGCACTCCGTAACCCCTCACGGGCCGTTCTCCAGTTCTACCCGACTTCAGACGACCAAATACAGCTCATAACTTCTATTGCGCAAAAAGCTGGTTTTGGGGGAGGTATCGTGGTCGACTACCCTAACTCGAAAAAGGCGAAGAAGGTATTCTTGTGTCTGTTCGTAGGGGGCGGAGGCGGTGGGCAGCAACAGCAGCAGTTGCCAGAGGGTTTAGTGGGCGAAGATGACGAGCATGCACGCTTTGAGAGGAGGAGAGAAAAAGAGAAAAGGCGTGATCGTAGCAGGTCGCGGAAAGCCCTGAAAGACAGAGATTGGATATTTAAAAAGAAGGAGGTTAGCACCCTGGTGTTCACGGGGCATCGCGCACTAAATTTAATTCCTTGCATAGTTGTACCGTCAAAGAGGCAAGGAAGGGGTTCCTCGAGACTCAAAGTACACTGGCCGGAAGCGCAAGGCTGTTTTCTAATCATGTCCTATTGTTTTGGTTTTTCGCCCTGGCTTATTCATGTTGGCAACCCATATACATGCTATGCACCAATGAGTATCACGTCCGCTTGCTGACGAAAAGGTCGCGAATTCCCGTCATAGCTTCCGCAGCACCACTCCTGATGAACAGGCCCTGGAGGGCGGCCATGCTTATCCATCGGCCTTCCCGCATCTCCGTGGCCGCTATCCCCTCTAGTTGCTGCCCCATGCGGTCGACTTCTTCTGCAGATGTCCCATCGCCCTCGCCGTAGAAACGTGTGAAAAGTGTCCTAACTTGAGTTGGCGACGCGTCGTCTACCAGCACGCTGAGATCGACGCGACCAGGTCTGATGAGTGCTGGATCGAGTTTTTCGATGTGATTTGATGTCATAAAGATGATCCGTTCCTCTCCGGATGCGACGCCATCAAGGGCGTTCAAAAAACCCGAGAATGTTACTGAGGACTGGTACCTACCGGAAAGTCTAAGGATTATAACGTGAGAGTCTGGGAACCACTGACCCATCTTCGCTTGTTTG